GGGGGGGGAAGGGGGGACACCCATTTGAAAAGGTCGAGGATGCTCGTTGTCTCGCTTAGGGGTATAATTCAAGGATTCTGGATTCACTTATGGTGTTCATGACGAAACGCCTCTATTTTTAGCTGTCAGAATATCTTTTAGGGTGCACTCGACGAAATGATAATAAAAAAACGCCCGTTTTTCCGTTTTCAGGCTGGATCTGTGCCGATCTCTCGGGATTAGTCTACTAGCGCGGACTCGTTTCCTGAACAGCGGCTGATAATCGAGCTTATTCCGTTTTAAGTGGTATCTTTCTGGGGTCCAATAAAGCTCGAGTCACACCCAGATTGGTCTCCTGTAGGGGTTTAATTCAAATTTTCCAACGATCATCTCCGACCTTTTCATGTGTGAGTTCCCCGGTCAAAGTTGCTTTGAGCTTACGATGGGGACGATGTAATTTTCTAAGTAGTTAGTGGGAACATATTTATGGGTGGCATATGCGTGCATTTCTGGCCGTATTTATCCAGGAAGACGAGTAACGTCTAACATTATAAAGTGCGTCCGCGTAAAAACGAGATGCATGAAACTCGTGCGTTGACAAAACAATCTATGGTGGGAGAGAGTGGTGGTCGCTCGATTAATAATTTTAGTCAAGCGAATTCAAACTTCAGATAAGCTCGTTTAGTTGATAAGTTCATCTGACGTTTTATGTGTCTTATTTTCCGTATTCACCAAGACCTATTATTCATCTTCTAAGGTAAATACGGCCAGTTATATGAATTATGGATACTTAAAAAAATTAGGGTAATAGGCGTGGTTTTCTCTCAGTTTTGAAGTGACGACGCTGTGCGCCGTATCTCGGTGTTAGGAACGGTAGTAAAACATGGAATCTCGTGCACGTCTGATGGACGCTTGATAAAGCTCCACCAAGAAGCATTAAAAGATACTTGTGACGTGAGAGTTCACTTCCTGCCAAATTTATTTTTGTTTTGTAAAAATCTTGCTAGGCTGTGTGGTAGTCATAAGTATTAGATGAATGTATTTAGTGCATTTCCCAATTCTGCAAGATCGGCTAAAATAAAAATAAAATCTCTAATGTAAAAAGAACTGTGACTGTTATGTTTGTTTAAAAGCAAAAGTCGTCGATTGAGTCTTGTTTTCGAGCGTGTAAAAGGTGTCAACTGAAACCCCTTGAAAACCGCAAAGTCAAATCGAAAAATAAACGTGCTTCAGTGCCAGCAAAACACGTGACAGAGCCAATTATATTTTCCGTTATGATGGCGTGTGCACTTGCAGAACGAAAAACGAAAACGAAACATGAAATAAAGGTACAACACAACTTTAATGAAAACATGCTGTTGAACTATGCAACAATTGCATCGCATGAAATTAGTTACCGGTGATTACAATTCTTACTACTCGCTTGGATCAAAATCTTCAAAATGCGTAAGTCTCGGTGTCTCATCTTGTCTGTATTGTTACTAGTTTGACTCTATTTTTCAAGAGGATGGAACAAGTAGAACTGAGAAAAAAATATACGGCAATAATTTAACTGAAGGAGGAAATTGCCTTAATGATGGAATCGTTGGATACTTGGAACTGAAGGAACAAGAAAAAATGTTACCTTTTGCTTTCGTGGGCGTGCATTGAACCAACAGTTTGCAACCAAACAATTTACACATAACTTCAGTATTTCTATATAGGCCCTTGTATTCAATTCACACACGTACTATTTTTCAGTTTTAATTGAAGTTAACAGAATTTTCAATTTGTTTCTCGTTTTCGCTTGAGATATTGAATGTTTCTCCGACTGAAATGAGTTCAAGACCCACCATATTTCGAAGAGACTTCTGATCACAAGTTTTATCCGTCATAGGCCGAGTCAAGATATTATTAACTTGTTTTGAAAAACATCACCCAAGCTGGGTATTTTAACATTCTTCTTGGCTATTTATCGATCTAAATCTATACTAGACAATTAAGGGTTTTCCGTCCGATCAAGTGTATTCATCGATTTCATCAATATTCCAACAACTGATTGAGTGGTTCGATGTATTCCGCTACTGATGTTCACAGAAAACCTATATCAAGACAAGTGGGTTTCTAGCGCTGCTTTGAAGAGAATCACGTTCTCGGATGGAGCAATTACAGCTAATGTACTCTATCTTAAAGGAGCTCAGTCGCGGTATTTTGAGTCATTTTGGCCACATACAAAATTACCTTAAATCATGGGTAGGAAATCTGAAAGTAACAGTTTAATAAGGTAGAAAAACACCAAAGAGTTAATGATAAACCATAAAAAAACAAGGATGGCTAAGGATGGAAAAGATTAACACGGATTACAAACGACGAATTTGAAAAATTGAGGCTAAACTTTTCAATATGCGCAAACCGTGACTGAGCTCCTTTAATCTTTGGATCGTATTATGAAGAGCAGTCAAGGCATTTTTGCCGGAATTCACTCGCCCAAAAACCCCGTTACACTTTTGCAAAGTTCGTCGTTTTTGTTTGGTCAAGATTATTTTAATGTTTGTTTCTTTTTGAAGGAGTAGTATTCTGGGCTTAGGTGGCAAAGGCAAAACCCCAATACTGCCAAAAAATCGAGAGGAATAAATTTAGGTTCGGACTTCGTCTTACTCAGAAGTCTAACTGCCCGTCCACAATTAATACGCCGGAGAAATTTGAAAACGCAACTTTATTTCTACGGTCGATCAGGCCTACCGTCCACACTAATCCGTCACGAAAACGGAACTTTTCGCAAAAGCTCTTCAAACCAGAAAATACCGGCTTTGCGTTTTACTGGTGTGTACGGAAAACAATTTGAAATCGGAGCTGTTCGAAAACGATGACGTCACGTTAATCACGAGATTTCCCTGACGGAGATTTCCTCAAATGACCGAGCTAAGTGGCCGGTGATTGTTGCGTTTTCAAATTTCTGTTGGGAGGACGGGGTCTAAGCCCGATGCTGACTGAAAACTGGTCACAAATAATTTCTCAATAAACGACGTTTTCACAAAGGTTAAAGAACTTATGATCGAGACAATTTTAAAGGCGATGGTAAACATTAGGAAAAAAGAAAATACTTCCTAGAATCCTTTAATAATATTTTCTGCTCGATCAAATTCTTTAGTCGCTTCCAGGCCGAACATTTCTGAACGGTGACCGATTTTTCCAATTAATTTTGTCTAAACAAAATTGACTCGATGTAACGGCGGCCTTCTCTTGGTTCCAACAAATGTCTCAGTTGTTGTTGTTTTTTTCATTATTATATTTTTCTTCATACGACCACCCTTACTACGAGCCGTCGAACACAACTGAAAAGAGTGTCCATACTTTTTAGTAGGAGCAGGGAGAGTAAATACACTGCAACCGCCCCCCCCCTCCCACGGCAAATAATAATAATAATAATAATAATAATAATAATAATAATAATAATAATAATAATAATAATAACAATTAGTTCGAAATGTGTTATTTTAAAAGCCATAAGCGATTAAATAGGTACACTGGTAATTTTTAAAGATGTTTCACGCGATTCGCACAATTTTATTAATGAGAAAATGAAAAAGTATTGACATTTGTCATTTTCAGAATTTGAGAAACAGAACTGTGCTTTGAGAATTATATATTCGTTTATGATGATGATGATGGTGATCATGACTTTTTTATTGGAAAGTAAGAAAGAAAAAAAACGCAATTCACTTGAGTCGTATGGTGTCTCGGCCGAACAGCATTTAATAGTCACAAAACACTCCTGGCTGCGCCAGTCGCGCGAACGTCTTCAAAATAACTGGACTACTAAGGTTAGGGATTTCCGTGACCGCAAGGATTTATTGGAGTCAACACCACTTTGGGTCAACACCGTCGATTTGGGGCTTCGATCACGCAGAGTTTACGAGCAGTGAAACACATCCTGATCAACGCATTCCCCAAGCAGAAGACTCGAGAAAGAAGGTAGGTAGGGTGAACCTCCGGGCTCCCTCTTTGATCTTTTACACAAAGGCCCGCAAAAATCATTTAAGATATTTGACTTAAGCTATACGAAAACACTTGAGTGCAGTGAGATTTGCTTGAAAATTAGAGAACTTATTTGGGATCGACTGTAAAACGCGGGAATGAAGCATTTGATTCTGTGAATTGCAGTATTTTAGAACTTTTGTGTAGATGGCTTTGGGCTTAAGGAAGTAGGAGGTCTTTTTTGTATGTCATAGTTCTTCTATACCCTGAGGTAAACTTGTCTATGGTTTAATCAAAGTTTTGCGGGACCTATTGTTTGCTATATGAAAACCACTTGATAGTTTCTGGTCTTTCTAGAAGGAATTTATTCCGTGCAAGAGTTGTGACTTTAGAAACTAAATGAAAAATGAAAACCTGTACCAATTATGAAATTGTTTTGTAGTGAGTTCTTTTCCTAAATGCTCAGTGACATGGTGAGTCGTTGAAACCATGCATAAGCCCAGCTAGAAGTCGATGTTGCTTACGTGAACGGTGTAAATGGCAGTTGAACTTAAAATTCAAGGCTTTAAAAGAAGCATGTATTTCCGGACATTTAAGACAAAACGTGTTTTTGCAATATGTAATGTCTACATGCTCCCAAGTGTAAAGAGGAACACAGTTTAGGTCGCCCAGGAATAAAATAACTCAGAGAGCTCGCTTGCGTGTCATTCGTAAGCGAAATCAAAACATGGCAATATTGATTTGAAGTTCGACGCAGATATTAAAAAGACAAAACCCCAAACACACGTAAATAAGTTCAACTAAAGAACAACGTATTCACATTAACAGATAGCCAGGCGAATTTTGAAACTAAAACAGTTTCGGTGTATTTTGTCTTCGAATTTATAATCCCCTATGCAACCACCAACCCCCTGTCTTGCCCCCTCGCACACCCCTAAATCCAATAACGGAGCATAAGAAGATCATCAGAAATATCAAGTGATATTATCAGTTTAATCCCGTTGTTATTTCATGGATCGTGCAATCAGTGTTTTAATCGTCTTAATTCTTACCCAATCTCTATCTTGACCGTCGTGTTATGTAGCGGCAGATTTCGATACTGATGAGCTCTCAGCAACACTAAACAGTCCAAAAAGCACATCCGCTTTTGTCACTATTCTCGGTTTGTGGTTTTTGGAGAAAACGTATAGAAAATACAAATGACATTTTTAGCGTGTAGAATCGTGTTAAAATCCGAGAAATGATACCTGGCTCTCTGTGAGCGCATCCGGGCAATTACCTGGAAGACGCTATAATTCAATAATTCAGACTACACATGTTTGTCATGTTTGAGATGTTTTGGCAGCGAAACAAGCCATAACTCGATTTTCACTGAACCCAGTTTACACCGATATAAATTCCAGTGGCTTTAAAGGACTACACTGAACATGCAACAGTCAAGCTTACTATAGCACAAGTCTTAAGAAAATTGGATGTATATATTAATCAACAGATACTTAACGAATAATCGGCCAGCGTAGACAAAATCTTTACAATAACTATTTATAAATCTGCTTGGACAGTGGACTTCTGTCAAACACTGTTATAGTCACACCGTACAAGCTGACGGCTGCAAAGCAGACCACAATTGTATGTTGGATCAAATTTGGAAAAATATCGTGGACGCGGGTGTGTTAGGTGCGCTGTGTTATGGCGAGGAACTACATTCGCCCCCAGGCTACGCCGAGAGAACTGATTTATAACAAATCCCGCCATATCACCTTGACCGTTGGAAAAGCTGATGAAGTTTGCCTGACTTCCGCCGGAATTCCTGCGCTCTCTAGGTGATTGTAAATGTTTTCTTATCGTCTGATCTTTTTTAAGCTTTTCTGCATTTACAACGGCTCCTTTCCTGGAGTAGTGTTTTTAATCCCCCCTTTCTTTTTTCTGCTATCTGGGCTCAGGAATCTTCGTCATCACTTATCGGAAGCAAATTTCAACGTGAGCAATGTGGTCTTTGAGCTCTTGTCTATAACCAATTGCATTTTCAGTAACTTAAGATTCAAGAAAGAACTTTAATGGTACTTACATATTAACGGGGGAGGGGAGGGTGGGGAGAAGAAGCAAGAACGTATAGTCCAATAACCACAAATAAATCGTGTTGTTTTTAGCTTCATATCCCTGAAAATTCATTGTATCAAACATACGTCACATGTAAATACAATAATTAAAAATGAATAATGAAAACAACAGAGAAGGATTACTGTACGTAATTTTTTAAGACTGTGCGTACGATATACAATATAGATGTCAATCATCTTTTCCATCTGATCTAAAAGATTTTAAACTCCTGGCGTAAAACCAGCTGAATTTGCTAACAAATCCAGGCGTTAAAATGCTTAAGGGAGAAAGGAAGGATGTGGCCAGGGGCGGTGACTGATAATTATATATTCTGAATTAACCAAGAGGCCGACTTTTTATTTTCTCATGCCGCACCACTTTCAATATGAATAAAAAGGATATACAAATGACGACATGGATTTAGCGCTGTGGTAAAAGTAATTTATTTAAGCAAGCTACCCACGCGAATCATCTAAATCTGCTTAAGTCTTCGTGTTAAGTTGTCTTTAAAAAGAATAATTGTCGAAATACAAATTACATATTTTGATTGTGGCGTTAAAAACCACAAGTAATCATGGCGCCAGTAGGTCTCTAAGGGGTGTATCTACGTAACAAAACTGTAAAAATATTGACTTCACTTACATGTACTCTTCTCGACCGGGTTTCTATAAATAATACGTTGCATGTTTCATATTTTTAATTGCTGTTAATTTAGTGTAGTATTTATGCATCAATTACTGTCTATCACGTTTTTCTTTTTTAAGAATCGAGTGCCAGACAATTATATTCTATACGGATAGGGCTTCACTGAATGTGATGATTTTCAAATCGGGTCTTTGGCCTCCATAAACTTGCTTCGAGGTTTCGAATCGTAAAAGAAGAATGTCACCAATGTGTTGTTGTTGTTGTTGTTGTTGTTGCTCAGTGTTGTTTATGTAGTCACTTGTTGTTGGCGGCATTTTCAACCAAAACAGATTACGTATTCCGGAAAACGCACCGTTTCCTTTACATTTTTGAATTCCTGAGCACCGTGCCGGCTTGGTCGTTTGGTAAGTGCTTTTGTCATCTGCCAGTCACGTTGCAAAACCTAAGCCGTGACTTGGTTTCCTTGCGTGGTCGAGTCCTCACTTATCCCCGGGTTTATTTTTGTGGCTGACTGTTTTTTTTTTTAAATTACTATTCACTTGAGGTTTGGGTTTGGTTTTTCTTCCACAACAATTGGAAATCTTGAGAACCTCTTAAGTGGATTACCAACTGTTGCTATTTTCTGCATAGTGTAAGTTACTTGCAGTCTCAGGGTGTCTGCCCAGTGAGCAATAATTTCACTAAGTCGTATTTATGACATTCATGTAGAGAATGTTCCAGGTTTTTATTACTTACTTATAAAGATCATCTCGAAATGGTCAGGGTTCAAGAATGTATCCGGAACTCATAATTCTTTCGACGTCGTACGTTGAAAACTTTTCAGAGCCCGAATTTGTTGTGTTGTGTGAACTGTTTAAAAGTACAATACAGGTTGACACAGTTGAATTCAGACTGAAAAAAACTCACCCAGTTGGGTAAGGCAACAGAGCACAGCTATATGGACAATTAACGAGGCAATCTTGTATATTATCTTTGCGATGTCATAGCGGAAGAGGCGGCCTACAAGGTTTTATTTTATCAAGCGTCGCGACCATAAAAACAGGCTTCAGTTAACAGCACTGAAATTGCCTCAGAATTCAGTACAAACGTTGACTGGTTCACTTGGTAGCTATAGCAGCACTTGTTTTCTTTTACATAGATTAAAAATATAGATAACTGAATTGTGTTAAATGTCTGGGGCTAGATGCGAACTTAAACTATTTAGGATGCCCTCAGACAATACTATCAGGCTACGCAAGGGGGCTTCATTTTCGGTTCGAGAGCCGCCTTCCTTAGAGGTTTCAAGATAGTTTTTTTTAATCTCCACCAATGAGGTAATATTTATGTCTATTTTGTGTCCATATTTTATATCGTTCCGATCCAAATCCAGTCAAAAGCATACAATTGCTTATCGCGTGACAAAGCTAGTAAAGCCATTAAAATAGGATGTCGTCGGCATTTTCAGCTGGAAGACGACACACACTAGGCGGTCACGCACAAGGCGAATCCCGGCATTTCATTGTAATAAATCGTTGAATTGGAGTGTCGTGGGAATTCGACCGCAAAATCATACCAGCGACAGTTTTTAACAGCTATAAACGCCACTTTCCGACTTTTAAGTGAGTCCATTTCAATGGAGATTGAATCTAGCCCGTTCTCAGGTGTTTGGTTGCTAAGAAGCTTAGAAATATCGAGATTTATTAATTATGGCATAAATCCCGAAAGAATTCAAATACATCTGATATATTGCCACTCGAAATTGACCGATAACAGATAGAGTTGATCGATAGGTCTCGGCCGGGTCAGATTTTAATATTCTTTTCATGATTACTACCTATGATAAGTTTTTCATTCAGTGTAAAATTTTAACGACTTAGAATCTATCTTTTCTGATCAGAGCAAAAAGTGCTTTATTCTATGGACACTCTTTAGGATAACCTTTCCGTTGCAGGTACATTAGTGACTCGAATTAGCGGCTGTTTTCTGCAATCCGTACCACGGAGAGTCAGCAAGAGTCAGTTTTGAAACATATCAGTCTTAGGGAAAGCCGAATTTCATGATGTTGGCCTGAATTTGTTTGTTCGAAATCATGCATGCGGCAAATCACAAAGTCGCATTGATAAAGCTTTTAGAATTGGATTTCAACAAAAGCCATTTATTACACAGACACCAGCAGACAATGTTGGTTTTATAGTTATATGTACTGCACATACTGACATAGCGTTGAAAGCGCAAGGTGTAAAATATATAGCGCCAGTATTGACTTCCACTGAAAAAGGGAATTGTAATTTTTTTCACGTAATCGAAAGAATTTAAACATAATTACAAAAAGTCTTTAATTCATAACTCAAAGAATAACAGCACTGATTTAAAACATATTAATAAACTCCCGAGGAGCTCTGTTTTGATTGGAAATCGCCATGGTCTTTGTAGAGAAGAATTACTGAATCAAAAACTAAGATTTTTAGTTTTTTTTATTCTGTTCCAGACCTAAACAAACCGGAATACCATAAATCGAAACGTAATTCATGCTTTTTTACTCCAAAACGAAACACAGACAAGGAAGGAGTTGTGAGTTTGCCGATTGCCACAGGGCCGCAGAGGTTTTGCGGTTAGCTGTAAAGTCAATTTTCACCTAAATGCCCTCGGGCGTTTAACACATGTGTATGTAGTTAAATTTAATATTCGGAGAAATCAAATTGAAGTTGAAAATGAACGTCTGTAAGCAACGTTCTCCTCAACCTTATATCTTGCTATTTTTATCTGTGAAATTCGCAATTTAAATTTGGAAATTTTACATTTGATCGATTATGTTTGTATTTCCGCCGGAATATATTTTAAGATACGTCGTTTCATTGGTTGCGTGGCAACAGGGCTATCCTGGATTTACATAGCCATTATCTGTGAAAGTCCATGCAACCTTTCTTTGACAGCTTTTGTATTTGCTGTCGAGAGTTCACAGAATTAATAACGAGTTTTGCTAGTTAATGGCTAAGCAATCAATACGTTTGACATTGAGAGCAATTCATCAATTCATTTTCTGGAGTGGTTTTCAAATTCTTCTTTCGTCAAGACAAGTCTGGATTTGATATTTATGTTATTGTACCACTCAACAATTCCCTCTCTCACGTTTCCATATTTATGCTAAAGCGAAAAATTCATTAACCGCGTTATCAGACTTTAACGGCTATCTCTCCAGGGAATAATGCTATTTTGCCTAAAAGTATGCAAACAGAAAATCAAGATCGTTCAAAGAGAAGAATTTAAAAAATTCACAGTTGGAGACTAAGACACCATTTTGCACTATTTCACGGCCGGCGAATGTTTTCTTCATTAGGAGAGAAAATTTGTAATGACATTCTTGAAACCCATTCAAGTATTGAAACTATCCGATTACATGTCATTTGGTCACGTGATATATGCATTTCATACAGAACGCTGACCAAGTTCGGTTGAAGTATCATCTTTAAAATTGGGATTTTAGTTGAATAACCTCTCTTCGGGAGCGTTTTAACCGCCAAAAGGGAACTTCCTGCGAAGATAAGTGCGTCCACGGCAGATCAGAAGCGATTTCAACGGTATTTTTCGTCTTTTAGATCGATCTTCAGAGTGCGGAGTAGTTTCCGTTCTGGTGGATGGTTGTTCTATTGTTGGCGAGTGCCGAATCGAGCTTATGATGGCGTCGTTTAGTAAATTCGAGGCTTAGAATCCTGCCGTACGGCTTATGGATGCCCTTCAAACTTGCTGGAAATTGTTCAAATCACAACGACGGATGTATTAGTGCTCTAGTTTCCGTGGCACGGCAAGAAATGAACTATGAGTCATTTCGAACGGACATGTATTCCATGGAATGTATGCCGATTCAAAACCAAACTGTGGCTTTGGTACATTGTGTTATTATGGACCACATGTGTGTTTGATCTTCATCCTAGCTTCACCAGTGCATCAACAGCCACTTTCTATATTTCTGAAGGACTCCCAAAAGGATCTTTTGTCGGCAGCCTGACACACGTCAACTTCAACATCGTAACAGGCATCACTCCTCAAGCTGGTGACTTGAACGTTGATTCAGTTACGAAGATCATTACTACAAACGTTGTTTTGGATCGCGAAACCGTTCCAAACTACGAAATTTCCTTAGTGGCCTTCGCTCCATTTCAGAGATTGCTAGTTTTAGTAAATGTAACTGATGCTAATGACAACACTCCGAGATTTGCGAACGATGTGTACAATTTCAAGCTGTACGAGGAAGGCTCTGTGCAGCAGCGAATCAAGGCATTGGACAAAGATTTCGGCTCAAATTCGACGCAAACATATTCTATATTATCTGGAAACATTGGTAGTGTTTTCAAGCTGACTGAGTTTGTGGATAACAACGGCGCTTTATGTGCAGAACTAGGTTTGGAGCAAGGAAAAGTCCTCGATCGAGAAAAGCGCGACGCATACATTTTGAATGTGTCTGCCAGCGATGGAGGCAATCCACGGCGGACTGGTTTTGCATTACTCAACATTACTGTGCTAGATATAAACGACCATGATCCTGTATTTACGAACAAATCTTATTCAGCTAACATTACCGAAAATTCGGCAATTGGTACACCGATTTTGAAAGTCTTCGCCACTGATAATGATATTGGAATGAACGGTGAAGTTTTGTATGTGATCGAGCGTGGCTCGCACTCGGATCCCAACTTTGTGTTTAGCATCCATGACAAGACTGGAGTGGTAGTGAACAATGTACTACTGGATTATGAAAAGAAACACGATTACAGCATATTAGTTCGAGCAAGAAACCCTGGCGTTCTGGGATCATCCAAGTTTGATGTTGCAACTGTGAGCATTCATGTCCTAGATATTAACGACAATAAACCCGATATTAGAGTAGAATTTCAGCTTGGCGGAAGCTATCAAGTTTCCGAAGACGCCAGTATTGGAACTTCGGTCGCACGAATTTACGTTTCTGACAAAGATTCGGGCAAAAACGGAGAGGTTGATGTTACTCTGGAAGGAGGTAATGGACATTTTAGTGCTAAGTCAGACCCTAATAATAATGTTGACATTATTGCAACTGCTAAACAATTGGATCGAGAAAGACAGGCAGCTTATACATTGAAAGTTGTTGCCAAAGACAGAGGCCAACCCCAGCAAACCTCACAGGAAAGTTTTATCATTAATGTCGGAGATGTCAATGATAACCATCCTGAATTTGATCAAGATGTGTTTACTGCTGTGTTGTCAGAGAATGCTACCATTGGATCAAGGGTTGTGGTCACTCGTGCTGCTGACGAGGACAAAGGTTTAAATGCCAAGTTAGTTTATAATATCTCCTATACACCACAAGATGCTCTTTTCAAAACATGGTTTAAAATCAACCAGACGACTGGAGAAATCTTTACAGCTGCAATGTTGGATCGCGAGAAAGTTCCCCAACCCAAGTTCCTTGTCACTGTGACTGATTCAGGCATTCCACCATTGAGTGCTAACTGCACAGTTATCGTAAACATAAGTGATGCCAATGATAATTTACCAGTCTTTACCAAAACTGTTTACTTTGCAACAGTCGATGAGAATACTGCTAGTGACACCAATGTCACACTAGTTTCAGCAACTGATCGTGACAGTGGACTTAATGGAATTGTAAGCTATTCTTTAGAAACCAATCAAGGAAATACACCTTTTGCTATAAACTCTAAAAGTGGAATTGTAACAACATCAGGACCGATCGACTATGAACTTCAAGCTTCATACATATTTAACATTGTGGCTTCTGATGGAGGCGGGCAAACGGCAACCTCTGTTCTGAACATTTCAGTTGTAGATGAGAATGACAACTATCCAGTCGTAAACCCAACAACATACAGTGTATCACTGTATGAGAATCTGACAGTGGGAGATGTTGTAGCAACAGTTTTTGCCAGAGATAATGATAGTGGTATATTCTCACAACTGACCTTTTCAATTTCAAATGGGAACAGTGACGGTCATTTTTTTATGAAATCATCAACTGGAGTAATAGTTCTGCTTAAATCCCTTGATCGAGAAACAAAGGACTTTCACAGACTTGATGTGGAGGTTACTGACGGTGGTGGATTGAAGTCCAAAAATTCAGCAGTTGTAGAAGTGACAGTCTTAGATGTGAATGATGAGCCTCCAGTTTTTGAACCCAGCTTTTACAACTTCACCATAGTTGAAAATTCTGATTTACACACAGTGTTAGGCTCAGTGTATGCTTCAAGTAAAGATCTGGGAACCAATGCTGATATTTTCTACGCGATCAGTGGAGGCAACATCCATAGTGTGTTCAGCATCAACGCTACTGGAACAATATTTACACAGAGCAACATTGACCATGAAACAACTCCAAAGGTGTGGCTTAACATTCAAGCTAAAGATGGTGGTAAGCCCCCTCTATATGGCTTTGCGAATGTGAGCGTGACAGTAATTGATCTTAATGACAATCCTCCATCATTTGACAGCGGCATAATTGATGTTGACATTCTAGAAGACACCAAAGTTGGACAAACATTTTATAATGTGACTGCGCAGGATCCAGACAGTGGTCATTTTGGACAAGTGAGGTACACTCTTCTTGTGAACCCTAACAACACATTTGAACTGGGTCAAGATACAGGCTCACTGTCATTGACACGTGCTATTGACTTTGAAGGCCCCAGGCAGTATTCAATTCGAGTTTTGGCAGAAGATGGTGGTTCACCGCCATTGAATACCACTGCCACTTTTAGATTGACTGTCGTAGATGTGAATGATCACGCACCCATCTTCCCAAACACTTCGTACACTGTATATGTCAGTGAACGCACACCAGCAGGGACTGACATCTTGAATGTGTCAGCATCCGATGCCGACACAGGGGACAATGCTAGAATTTCATACTCCTTTCAGTCAGGAGTGGATACCACCTTGTTTGGCTTGCGACCAAACGGTTGGATCTTCATAAAGCAAATACTAAACAGAGAGGAAAAAGAAGTTTATAAATTCACTGTGGTTGCAACCGACAAAGGAAATCCCCCAAAGAGTTCGACGGCTGATGTAACTGTCTATGTTGAAGATGTTAATGACAACAATCCAAAGTTCACGCTGTCTTCATACATATTCCCAGTTGATGAGAATGAACCGAACAGAACATTCGTAGGTCAAGTTTCTGCAACAGACAAAGATGCTGGAAGTAATGCCAAGATTGCATATATTTTAATGTCTCCAAGTCCCGAGTTTGTGGTCGATCGAAACACAGGCGTTATAAGAACCAACAAAGTCTTGAACCGAGAACAGGAAAAATCCTTCAGCTTCCTGGTCAAGGCAGTTGATCATGGGCAGAACCCCAGGACAGGCTCTGCCAGTGTCACCGTAACTGTTCAAGATCTTAACGACAATGCACCCATCTTTAAGGAACTATCTTATGAGAAAGCTGTGTATGAGAACATTGATGTGGGGTCTTCGGTCATTACAGTGCAAGCGACAGATCGAGATGTAGGGTCTAACGGTGAGGTCAGCTACTTCGCTGCTAGTACAACTAATATGTTCAGCATAGATGCGCAGACTGGACTGATCACCACTGCAGCTCCGTTGGATCGCGAGAAGAACGAGCGATACACGTTGAATATTGGTGCTAGCGACCAAGGGAACCCACCTCAGTCCACTGTTGTGTTCGTGACTATTCACGTCCTAGATGTTAATGACAATGCACCTCGCTTTGTCAACAACAGCTTCTTCGTGAATGTGCCGGAAAAACAAGCGGTTGGCACTGTCGTGACCACCGTGACAGCCANTTCATGCTTTTTTACTCCAAAACGAAACACAGACAAGGAAGGAGTTGTGAGTTTGCCGATTGCCACAGGGCCGCAGAGGTTTTGCGGTTAGCTGTAAAGTCAATTTTCACCTAAATGCCCTCGGGCGTTTAACACATGTGTATGTAGTTAAATTTAATATTCGGAGAAATCAAATTGAAGTTGAAAATGAACGTCTGTAAGCAACGTTCTCCTCAACCTTATATCTTGCTATTTTTATCTGTGAAATTCGCAATTTAAATTTGGAAATTTTACATTTGATCGATTATGTTTGTATTTCCGCCGGAATATATTTTAAGATACGTCGTTTCATTGGTTGCGTGGCAACAGGGCTATCCTGGATTTACATAGCCATTATCTGTGAAAGTCCATGCAACCTTTCTTTGACAGCTTTTGTATTTGCTGTCGAGAGTTCACAGAATTAATAACGAGTTTTGCTAGTTAATGGCTAAGCAATCAATACGTTTGACATTGAGAGCAATTCATCAATTCATTTTCTGGAGTGGTTTTCAAATTCTTCTTTCGTCAAGACAAGTCTGGATTTGATATTTATGTTATTGTACCACTCAACAATTCCCTCTCTCACGTTTCCATATTTATGCTAAAGCGAAAAATTCATTAACCGCGTTATCAGACTTTAACGGCTATCTCTCCAGGGAATAATGCTATTTTGCCTAAAAGTATGCAAACAGAAAATCAAGATCGTTCAAAGAGAAGAATTTAAAAAATTCACAGTTGGAGACTAAGACACCATTTTGCACTATTTCACGGCCGGCGAATGTTTTCTTCATTAGGAGAGAAAATTTGTAATGACATTCTTGAAACCCATTCAAGTATTGAAACTATCCGATTACATGTCATTTGGTCACGTGATATATGCATTTCATACAGAACGCTGACCAAGTTCGGTTGAAGTATCATCTTTAAAATTGGGATTTTAGTTGAATAACCTCTCTTCGGGAGCGTTTTAACCGCCAAAAGGGAACTTCCTGCGAAGATAAGTGCGTCCACGGCAGATCAGAAGCGATTTCAACGGTATTTTTCGTCTTTTAGATCGATCTTCAGAGTGCGGAGTAGTTTCCGTTCTGGTGGATGGTTGTTCTATTGTTGGCGAGTGCCGAATCGAGCTTATGATGGCGTCGTTTAGTAAATTCGAGGCTTAGAATCCTGCCGTACGGCTTATGGATGCCCTTCAAACTTGCTGGAAATTGTTCAAATCACAACGACGGATGTATTAGTGCTCTAGTTTCCGTGGCACGGCAAGAAATGAACTATGAGTCATTTCGAACGGACATGTATTCCATGGAATGTATGCCGATTCAAAACCAAACTGTGGCTTTGGTACATTGTGTTATTATGGACCACATGTGTGTTTGATCTTCATCCTAGCTTCACCAGTGCATCAACAGCCACTTTCTATATTTCTGAAGGACTCCCAAAAGGATCTTTTGTCGGCAGCCTGACACACGTCAACTTCAACATCGTAACAGGCATCACTCCTCAAGCTGGTGACTTGAACGTTGATTCAGTTACGAAGATCATTACTACAAACGTTGTTTTGGATCGCGAAACCGTTCCAAACTACGAAATTTCCTTAGTGGCCTTCGCTCCATTTCAGAGATTGCTAGTTTTAGTAAATGTAACTGATGCTAATGACAACACTCCGAGATTTGCGAACGATGTGTACAATTTCAAGCTGTACGAGGAAGGCTCTGTGCAGCAGCGAATCAAGGCATTGGACAAAGATTTCGGCTCAAATTCGACGCAAACATATTCTATATTATCTGGAAACATTGGTAGTGTTTTCAAGCTGACTGAGTTTGTGGATAACAACGGCGCTTTATGTGCAGAACTAGGTTTGGAGCAAGGAAAAGTCCTCGATCGAGAAAAGCGCGACGCATACATTTTGAATGTGTCTGCCAGCGATGGAGGCAATCCACGGCGGACTGGTTTTGCATTACTCAACATTACTGTGCTAGATATAAACGACCATGATCCTGTATTTACGAACAAATCTTATTCAGCTAACATTACCGAAAATTCGGCAATTGGTACACCGATTTTGAAAGTCTTCGCCACTGATAATGATATTGGAATGAACGGTGAAGTTTTGTATGTGATCGAGCGTGGCTCGCACTCGGATCCCAACTTTGTGTTTAGCATCCATGACAAGACTGGAGTGGTAGTGAACAATGTACTACTGGATTATGAAAAGAAACACGATTACAGCATATTAGTTCGAGCAAGAAACCCTGGCGTTCTGGGATCATCCAAGTTTGATGTTGCAACTGTGAGCATTCATGTCCTAGATATTAACGACAATAAACCCGATATTAGAGTAGAATTTCAGCTTGGCGGAAGCTATCAAGTTTCCGAAGACGCCAGTATTGGAACTTCGGTCGCACGAATTTACGTTTCTGACAAAGATTCGGGCAAAAACGGAGAGGTTGATGTTACTCTGGAAGGAGGTAATGGACATTTTAGTGCTAAGTCAGACCCTAATAATAATGTTGACATTATTGCAACTGCTAAACAATTGGATCGAGAAAGACAGGCAGCTTATACATTGAAAGTTGTTGCCAAAGACAGAGGCCAACCCCAGCAAACCTCACAGGAAAGTTTTATCATTAATGTCGGAGATGTCAATGATAACCATCCTGAATTTGATCAAGATGTGTTTACTGCTGTGTTGTCAGAGAATGCTACCATTGGATCAAGGGTTGTGGTCACTCGTGCTGCTGACGAGGACAAAGGTTTAAATGCCAAGTTAGTTTATAATATCTCCTATACACCACAAGATGCTCTTTTCAAAACATGGTTTAAAATCAACCAGACGACTGGAGAAATCTTTACAGCTGCAATGTTGGATCGCGAGAAAGTTCCCCAACCCAAGTTCCTTGTCACTGTGACTGATTCAGGCATTCCACCATTGAGTGCTAACTGCACAGTTATCGTAAACATAAGTGATGCCAATGATAATTTACCAGTCTTTACCAAAACTGTTTACTTTGCAACAGTCGATGAGAATACTGCTAGTGACACCAATGTCACACTAGTTTCAGCAACTGATCGTGACAGTGGACTTAATGGAATTGTAAGCTATTCTTTAGAAACCAATCAAGGAAATACACCTTTTGCTATAAACTCTAAAAGTGGAATTGTAACAACATCAGGACCGATCGACTATGAACTTCAAGCTTCATACATATTTAACATTGTGGCTTCTGATGGAGGCGGGCAAACGGCAACCTCTGTTCTGAACATTTCAGTTGTAGATGAGAATGACAACTATCCAGTCGTAAACCCAACAACATACAGTGTATCACTGTATGAGAATCTGACAGTGGGAGATGTTGTAGCAACAGTTTTTGCCAGAGATAATGATAGTGGTATATTCTCACAACTGACCTTTTCAATTTCAAATGGGAACAGTGACGGTCATTTTTTTATGAAATCATCAACTGGAGTAATAGTTCTGCTTAAATCCCTTGATCGAGAAACAAAGGACTTTCACAGACTTGATGTGGAGGTTACTGACGGTGGTGGATTGAAGTCCAAAAATTCAGCAGTTGTAGAAGTGACAGTCTTAGATGTGAATGATGAGCCTCCAGTTTTTGAACCCAGCTTTTACAACTTCACCATAGTTGAAAATTCTGATTTACACACAGTGTTAGGCTCAGTGTATGCTTCAAGTAAAGATCTGGGAACCAATGCTGATATTTTCTACGCGATCAGTGGAGGCAACATCCATAGTGTGTTCAGCATCAACGCTACTGGAACAATATTTACACAGAGCAACATTGACCATGAAACAACTCCAAAGGTGTGGCTTAACATTCAAGCTAAAGATGGTGGTAAGCCCCCTCTATATGGCTTTGCGAATGTGAGCGTGACAGTAATTGATCTTAATGACAATCCTCCATCATTTGACAGCGGCATAATTGATGTTGACATTCTAGAAGACACCAAAGTTGGACAAACATTTTATAATGTGACTGCGCAGGATCCAGACAGTGGTCATTTTGGACAAGTGAGGTACACTCTTCTTGTGAACCCTAACAACACATTTGAACTGGGTCAAGATACAGGCTCACTGTCATTGACACGTGCTATTGACTTTGAAGGCCCCAGGCAGTATTCAATTCGAGTTTTGGCAGAAGATGGTGGTTCACCGCCATTGAATACCACTGCCACTTTTAGATTGACTGTCGTAGATGTGAATGATCACGCACCCATCTTCCCAAACACTTCGTACACTGTATATGTCAGTGAACGCACACCAGCAGGGACTGACATCTTGAATGTGTCAGCATCCGATGCCGACACAGGGGACAATGCTAGAATTTCATACTCCTTTCAGTCAGGAGTGGATACCACCTTGTTTGGCTTGCGACCAAACGGTTGGATCTTCATAAAGCAAATACTAAACAGAGAGGAAAAAGAAGTTTATAAATTCACTGTGGTTGCAACCGACAAAGGAAATCCCCCAAAGAGTTCGACGGCTGATGTAACTGTCTATGTTGAAGATGTTAATGACAACAATCCAAAGTTCACGCTGTCTTCATACATATTCCCAGTTGATGAGAATGAACCGAACAGAACATTCGTAGGTCAAGTTTCTGCAACAGACAAAGATGCTGGAAGTAATGCCAAGATTGCATATATTTTAATGTCTCCAAGTCCCGAGTTTGTGGTCGATCGAAACACAGGCGTTATAAGAACCAACAAAGTCTTGAACCGAGAACAGGAAAAATCCTTCAGCTTCCTGGTCAAGGCAGTTGATCATGGGCAGAACCCCAGGACAGGCTCTGCCAGTGTCACCGTAACTGTTCAAGATCTTAACGACAATGCACCCATCTTTAAGGAACTATCTTATGAGAAAGCTGTGTATGAGAACATTGATGTGGGGTCTTCGGTCATTACAGTGCAAGCGACAGATCGAGATGTAGGGTCTAACGGTGAGGTCAGCTACTTCGCTGCTAGTACAACTAATATGTTCAGCATAGATGCGCAGACTGGACTGATCACCACTGCAGCTCCGTTGGATCGCGAGAAGAACGAGCGATACACGTTGAATATTGGTGCTAGCGACCAAGGGAACCCACCTCAGTCCACTGTTGTGTTCGTGACTATTCACGTCCTAGATGTTAATGACAATGCACCTCGCTTTGTCAACAACAGCTTCTTCGTGAATGTGCCGGAAAAACAAGCGGTTGGCACTGTCGTGACCACCGTGACAGCCAAGGACAAAGATGCCGGGAACAACGGAAGAGTGCGTTACACAATCGATCAAGGTAACGGTGGAAAAGTATTTGAAATCAACGTGACCTCCGGTGTTATTGTCCTGCGCAGACCACTGGATTTCGAGAAAAGAAGCAAGTACCAGTTGAGGATCGTAGCCAGAGACCAGGGACAAAACAGCCAAAGTAGCTTTTTGTACGTCACGGTGTTTGTGTTAGATTCCAACGACAACACACCCACGTTTGACAGGAACCCCGTCACGGTACAACTACCTGAAGGTGTGCCAACCAACTACAACGTGACCACTATAACAGCTCATGACTATGATTCTGGCCAGAACAGCTGGATTCGGTATTCAGTCGATTCTCAGTCCCCAGGACCTGCGAAATTTAAAGTGGATCCGTCGTCGGGCACCGTGCAGACTATCGGAACAATCGATCGCGAGTTGGTGGACGAGTACACATTGAACATCCGAGCCACCGATCAAGCGTTCACAGAATCCGAGCGATTATCGAGTACCATAACGGTTTTCATCATCGTGGACGATATCAACGACAACAAGCCAGCCTTTGTGTCGCCGAACTACACGTATGTTATGGAAGACGAACCGTTCGGCTACCCTGTCATCACCATCACTGCCATTGATCAGGACTTAAGTGGCAACGGTCGAGTGAAGTACAGAATCGAGCAAGGTGGCAGCGGAGATAGCTTTGGAAAGTTCTCTTTACAGGCGGACACTGGTCTGCTAATGTTGCAGGGCGCGTTGGATTACGAGACCACACCCAAGTATGTCCTGAACATTTCTGCCACAGATGAAGGGACCCCGCCGCTGTCCTCATACCAGCTCCTCACCATTTTCCTGGTCGATGTGAACGACAACGCGCCGGAATTTCAGCCGAGTCTGTTCCTTGGCAACGTGAGCGAAAACGAGCCCATGGGTACCACTGTGATGAAGATCAGCGCCAGTGATCTAGACAGCGGGTCAAACGGAGCTCTGACCTATAGCATTCCCAGGGGGAAGGTGATGTCCAAGTTTGCCATCAATGAAAGCAGTGGGGTGATCTACACGAATTCGACGCTTGACCGTGAGACAAAAGACAAGTATCAACTTACTGTGTATGCCACTGACAATGCGTTCCCCTTTCGCGTCGGCACTTGCAGTGTGATAATTAGAGTTCTGGACAAGAACGATCACGGTCCTGTTTTCAACCCTTCTCGCTTGAATTTGACTGTCTTGGAAGAGCAAGCCCCCTTCGTGTTTCACACTTTAACAGCTCAAGATTCAGACATCGGTGAAAATGGCCGCGTACGCTACGTTCTAAAGAGCGGCGACGAAGACGGGAAGTTTTCAATCGGAGAGTTCTCTGGCGCGCTGTCGACAACAGCTCGGCTCAACAGAGAAGACAAAGCTCGTTATGATTTAGAAATAGAAGCAAGCGATGTCACATCTCCTTTTCATAACTCCACCGCTCGCGTGACAATCATTGTCGGTGACATAAACGACAATCCGCCGAAGTTCCAGCAAGATTCTTACGATGTAAATATCCGCGAGCTGACGAAGACTGGCTCTCTTATCCTCACCGTGACAGCAACTGACAGCGACTGGGGAATGAACGGAGACGTAGTGTACTCCTTGAGCAACAATACATTTGGCGTTTTCCGCATCGATTCTAAGACAGGAGAGATCTACACCGTGCAGGAATTCGACTACTCGGTCAGCAAGGAGTACAACTTCCTCTGTCACGCGACGGACAGAGGTGTGTTCCCGAGGAAAGCATCAGTTGCCGTGAAGGTGTCAATCATCGATGAGAACAACCATGCCCCTGAGTTTAAGATGATACCTTATGTCAAAGTGATCGAGCGGTCTGTCGTCAAGCCAGAGGATTTGTTGCTGACAGTTAGTGCAACGGATGAAGATTCTTCATCAATTACTCAAATGACTTACAGGTTTGCCAACGGCTCTTCGCCTCAGTACTTCCTCTTGGAAAGCAACACTGGGCATTTACGATTCAAAAATGTTTCCAGCATTCCAGACGGTGCGTACATTTTAAACATCGTCGCTGACGATGGCGGCAATCTCACCGGAAGGGGAATAGTAGAGATTGTCGTGGGCACCGTCTCGGTTACTCCACCTCAGTTCGTGAACAGCACGCCAGTCTTCGTGTCCCTTCCCGAGAACAGCCCGAAGAATCACGAAGTGACCCGAGTGTTAGCGAATCCATCGAATGATATAGCGTACAGCATAGTTGAAGGGAACATCGGAAACGCTTTCTACATCAATCCTCAAAGCGGTGTCGTGACAGTGGCAAATCAAGCGCAGCTCGATTTTGAGAGATTGCGTGACTTCCGCCTTTATATCATCGCGTCAAGGTCCTCGTCACGAAATGCTTACCTAACCTTGTACGTCAACTTGACAGATCTGAACGACAACGCGCCAGTGTTTTATCCTGCTAACATTTCCGTCCAACTCACAGAGGACAATGCGTCTTTCACCAGCGGTTTTGTTCCAAGAACAGTAACGTCACTAACGACGACAGACAAGGATTCTGGAGATAACAACAAAATAACGTACGAAATGTTTGGAGGCAACGTGAACGAACAGTTTTCCATTAATTCACAGACGGGTGTAATTTCCACACGGGGACCAATTGATCGTGAAAATAAGACCCTCTACGACCTGGTTGTCAAGGCAACTGATGGGGGAACCCCGCCACAGTCCAGTTTAAGTCACGTGTTTGTCAAAATTATCGACTTGAATGACAACATCCCAGTATTCTCAGGGCCCTATTCAGTGGACGTCGATGAGGACCTTAAGGTGGGATCTGTCTTGAAGCGTCTTGCTGCTTCTGACAAGGACGAAAATCCAAATTTGGCGTACTCCTTCAGTAACGGCAAGAACAGCCAAGGTCTGTTTCACATTGACCAATTCACCGGAGACGTTAGCTTGCTGGGATCTCTTGATTATGAGGGGACCAAATCTTACTTGCTAAACATCACCTGCAGCGACGGAGTCCACCTGTCAGAAACAACTTTGTCCGTGCATGTTAAAGATGTCAACGACAACGCGCCCAAATTTTTGGACAGCTCTTATCAGGCGACTTTGTCCGAGGAAACAGCGGCAGGGACGTCCATCCTGCGGGTCAGCGCTGAAGACGAAGACAGTGGCTCCAATGGGCAGCTCACTTATGCGTTCGACACTTCCGTCGACGAATTTCGGATTAACAGCTCCTCCGGCGTCATCTACACGGCGAAACGGATCGAAGTTGGCGTTCGGGAATCGTTGCTCTTCGTGATCGTGTCGGCCACTGACCATGGTACTCCCACTCAGCGTGCTTTTGTCACCGTGCAAATCAGAATCAACCGAAAACCAAGGTTTAGCCAGGCAGCCTACAAGGCGAGCATTCCCGAAGACACGAAACCCGGTACTTCGGTCGTGACGGTTTCGGCAGTCGATGACTCCGGTTTGAACGTGGCCAAGATCAGTTACGAGCTTAAATTTGGTGATCCCCAGTCACTGTTCAGGATTGGTCGCCGTAGTGGTGTCATAGAGGTCAATAAAGATGGTTTGGACTACGAGACGGAATCGAATTACCTCCTTGGTGTTGAAGCGCGGGATGACAGCACGAATAAGAGCGTTGTAGTTGAAGTGAACATTACCATCACAGATGTGAACGATAATCCACCAGTTTTCGATCCCGCGAATTACGTTCAAGAAGTCAACGAAGACGTGCCGAACGGTACGATGATTCTCCGAGTGAATGCATTGGATAGAGACTCGGGATTGAACGGACGCGTGGTGTTTTCCATCGGGTCAGGCAATGATAAACAGTCTTTCAAGATCGACAGCACGACTGGTGAAATAGTGACGATCAAGCCGTTGGATCACGAGAGTATCAAGGAACATAAGCTGTCGATAGAAGCTAGAGATGAAGGTAAGACTACTCTTTTATTTGATTTATTTTGGTTTAACCTAGGAATTACCGATGATGTGCTGGACCGGGTGAGAGTAATCTTGACTGTTGTGGACGATTGGCGTTAAGTGGATGGATCCCAGATGGCGAACCTTGAAGGAATCAACGATTTTTTTTAGTTTGTCGTTAGTAATCTGTGTTTATAATCTTCCTCACACGTTACTTCCTTGGCGTTTTTGTTCATTAACCAACTGCTAGTTTTATCCTTAAAGCGGTTACACACGACTGAGTACTTCCGACCATGTTTAGTCCAACCAGCGATCTTGCACTAGGTAGTGTAAGTTTTCTTTCAATTGCCCTCAAATCCAGAGGAAACGTTGGACCCAAATCTATGGAAAACTGAAAACAGTCCTGAAAAACAGACTCGGGATGGGGGGTGAGGTGGTGCGTGACGTTTTGCGCTCGCAAGAAAATTGTCACGCAACCGTGGTTCAAGAAGGATAGGTTTCTATGCCTAACAACAATTGTTTCTCACCGAAGTTTCTCACCCTAAGGAATCAAAATAATCTGCTTTTAGCCAGTCTTGAAGTCGAAACATGTCTGTTTCTTTTTCAGGTGTTAAACGAAAGAAGAGTCTTGCATCTGTGATAATCAAAGTAGGCGACATAAATGACAACGTTCCTGAATTTTACATCCCTCATCCTGATAAAGTGGCGGTGGAAGAAAACTCACCCGTGGGAACATCCTTCTATGATGTTACTGCTATTGATCGCGACTCTGGGAACTATGGAGCGGTCAAGTACAGCATCCTCGGGGGGAGTGGCTGGAGCCTTTTTGTCATCGACAGTTTCAGCGGAGAGCTCAGTACCAACGCAACGTTTGACTACGAAACTCGTAATAGTTACGTTTTGGAAGTCAAAGCTGAAGATGGAGGAAGCCCACCTCTGACAAGCAACGTAAACCTGACAGTTTACATCAAGAGCGTGGATGAAAGCGATCCCAAGTTTGAAAAGAGTAGCTACGAGTTTGACATCCCTGGTAACGCGAAAATCGGCGACGTTGTAGGGCAGGTAGTCGCCACAGACGAAGATGAAGGCGAAGATGGAGTCGTACGTTATTCGTTTGAGTATAGCAGTTCAGATGTGTTTGCAATCAATGGAACTTCCGGAGTCATCTTCGTGAACAAGTCGCTCGAGGAAGTCAACAGTGCTAGGCGCAGCCGAAGAAGTATTGATTTAGCCGATGAAGAATCGATTGGGTCACGCCGGAGAGCAAGAAGAGAAACTGACGTGACAAAGGTCATGTTACGCGTACGCGCCGATAGCGGCAAAGCAAAGTCAAAGGCGAGTTTGGTCTTGGTTGAAGTAGGAATAGACTTTGCCTGTCCTGGATGTCCGACCACAGGAGCAAGAGATGATGAGGACGACGGAGGAATAGCTGGTAGCACTTTGTCTATAATTATTGCCTTAGCAGTCCTGGCCGGGGTCATTTTAATCGCCTTTATCGTCGTTATGGTCGCCATTTATATGCGAAAGAAGAAGAAGAAGAGGAATCGACAGCATCCTCGCTTGCGTTACGATGGCTCATTCGATGAGATCACCGTGCATCCTCAAGCTCCAAATGGAAATATAAACCACGTGGACTCATCCCTTGATAACGTCTCCACGCCGCGCGGCTATTCTCAGGAGTGCTCCCCGCTGAACGGCCCGAGTGACTCGCCTGCCCGTGGAACCGAATCCTCGGATACGCCGAACAGCGCGTCGAGCGGTCGAGGATCATCCGAAGGTGTCGATTTCGAAGATGGCCATCCGCCGGTGATCGTGAACGGAGATATCGGGAGTCTGCATTCGGAGAACTATGTCAAAACTGTTGTGGGACCGGATTCAGGGATTCAGCAAGATTCTGATCAAGTTTCTCAGCTTACGATCAGTGACGGAAGCAGCATGATGCAAGGGGAGGGCCTCGCGATCGATAAACAAACGGACAAAATCGATAAGTTACTCGCTCGGCTGGGAAGTCAAGAAAGCCTTCACGTGTTCGGTGAAGAAGGGGGCGGCGAGGCGGACGGCGGAGTGGACGTCAGTAATTTATTATACGCGAAGCTTGCGGAAGTCGACGCCGACGAGGATGAATCGATTATCGACGGCATGAGACCGTATGTCGAAGAAGGACACGATCATCCTTCGTACGGTGGCTCGTTAAGTTCGATCGTAGGTAGTCGTGAAGAACTCACCGGAAGTTATAACTGGGATTATCTGCTTGACTGGGGCCCACAGTTTCAGCCGTTAGCGGACGTGTTCTTTGAAATTGGTAAAATGAAAGACGACGCCCCTCCGAAGAAATCTTTGAGTCTGAGTTTGCCTTCGAGTCAAGGATCAAGGAATCCTGCAACAGGAATGGTGACAACAGACATGCTTTCTTCGGTTTCTTCACTTCCTCGCTCACCTATTAGCCCTCCGTCCACACGCTATACTTCGCCGGCATTTTCGCCGAACTTTACTCCTGCTATTACGCCTTTAGTGACTCGTTCTCCGTCGGTTTCTCCTTTGGACACGGGTGCGTCATCCCCGGTATTTTCGCCCCCTGCGGGGGCCACACCGAAGTCAGGCTCGCGACCGTCTTCAATGCACGTGCTGCAGTTGCGTAGAGACTCTCATGATGGTTCGAACTCAGATTTGACTCACTCGCCGTCAATATCAGACAATGAATCCAATCTAGAGATCGATGTATAGCGAATTTTGTATTGTAATAGTACCACAGTCCTATACAGTGGGGAAATCTTCGCGCAGATACGGTTCCTTATTTTTGCGGTGATAACAGATTACAAATATATCTCGTTTTTTTTCGTTACTCTAGAAATTGAGCTTCACAATGTTTTTAAGAGCTCTTAGAAGGTTTTTGATACAAGAAAACAAGTTTTGATCTTAGTTTTCATCGTGACATCCAGAAGTGTCTGTAGTTTTCGTTGCGGAAGATGTTCACCTATAACAAAGCGAGTCTTATTGTATAATATATCAAGCAGAGTATTTCTATTTTTGTAAATAAGCGATGATATCTTACAGCGCAGTTTTACAGTTTCCAGAATGTATATAATTAACGAACGAATCAGAGTTCAGGCCTTGGCTGTTTTTAAGTTTAAAAGTATTTACTAGTGAAAGCCTTAAGGGAATGGAACGCAATCGACGTGCAAGCTCGTGCTCTAGAAATGATATTTTATTATTAGCTTGTAAAATACCAAGGTTTTAACCTGACTAATAGAACAGTTTTGTATGAAGAAAGTTGTGCTGTTGTTGTCCATTTCGTTTTATGTAGGAGGTTGCGTGGAGGGGAGGTGGGGAGAGTGTCAGTGGAAAAATGTCTGCAGAATTTCGTGATTTTCGGTCTTCGTATTTCTCTGCAGGGTTTGGGGAGGCACAGGTCTTAGTACATCTGGTTAAAAGGGCCAAAGCCCTTCAACCGGGCGTAATGGAAGGGAATGATCGAATAGTACTAATATTCGACAAACAGCGCACGGAAGTTCGTGGTAGGATTGCTTTCATGGCACCAAAAATAGGCTCGTTAACCACACCCACTACGGAGGGGAACAAGACCACACCTTAAATAGCGTCGTAAAATCCAGCCCATGCAAGTACTAACACACTAGATAGGTGATCACAAAGGTACTAGCTAAAAAAAGTGCAAGTAGAGAGAAAAAGTGGATATAATCATGGCGGTAATTGCATCTTGCCCAGCCCTCTCAAAATGGCGTTCCACGCCTCTTGTCTTAGCGTTTATTCTTCACTCCGCACCCTTTTTAATATTTTCCTGGGAGCCCCTAGCCATCCTTCTTCGCTCCCC